ATATATTGACTATTACATAACCGGTCAATATAACTATGAATCACAACGATATAATTAACATAGGCCATATGAATAAATCCTAAGTCAATGGACTTATATGATTTCCATAGGCCGATACGTATGACTGATCACGCCCAACTATGCCTTGTAAAAAGGACTTAGCGGTCATTGCAAATATATTTCGGTTAATAAGTCCGCAGTCGAGTCCCACAGGGAATTAACCTATTAAACACAGCTACTAGACTCGCACCAATTAAAGCAATCAATCTTCAAAAATATTTAAGTAACAAATTTGATGTTTACTAAATAAATATCACGTAATGAAAATGCAATAATTAATAACTAACTACGAACGGGTTGTAGAAAAGAATTGAAATGATCTAAGGTTATGATTTCCCCTATTGTCGGAATCCTTTCCCCTACGTTTTCTATAAATTTGCCTAAGTCTTCTCTACTGATCATGAATGTTCTGAGTGTTGTAATTCTCTCCCGAGTAACTACTATAATTTACTAGACATATTCTCCCGAATTACGCTAGCTGGCATTAAGTACGGCTCACTCGGATTGCACCAAGGTTTTGTTATCCCTAATCCCACCTTTAAACCCCCCGTATTGATCCCTCATATATGTTAGGAGTGATGTTGTTCAACAATTACCTAAATATGCACTCTCTCCCGAGTAATACACGTTAAATAGGCACAGTCGATTGAGGGCCCTTCAATCAACAACAATAATAATATAGTTGAACAAATAGAGAAAATACTACGACAAATCTATATTAACGTAACAGGAAAATCATCCTCCAATAGGTTCCATCAAAACGCTAGATTAAGAGTTTAGCTATTCATACTCATAGTCACAATATCTCAGATGTTTTGTATAATTAAATTACAAAGTAAAGATGAAAGGATGTAGAAATCAATATTTCTAAGTCCCAACGGTTGTTTCACGAGCTATCCTTGCCTCCAGTTGCAAAAACTCCTCCAAAAGTGGCGTTTTATGTCTATTTATATGTGTAGGAAAAGACCTAAATGACATAGGCCAAGTCCTAGTCAAACCAGGAGACGAAATAAGCCTTCAAAGTTCGGAGTGTGCACGCCTCGGACCTCGCCTCGCGAGCATGACCTCGCGCCAGACCTGGCGTCGCCAGCCTTAACGCAAGGTGGACCTCGCCTAGCCTGCTCCCTCGCGAGCTAAAAGCCTTGCCCAGCCAGCTCCTACGTGATCTATTAAGCTTGCTTCGCCAGCCTTCTCATTTATCCGCTGCTCACTTATTTCTTTCTTCTTTTCAACTGTTTTCGAGCACGCTTTAGACTTTAATTATTCCTTTTTCTCTACTTTCATCTCCAATTCACCTACATATAAAATAGACTCCATGACGTGCAAATAAAGTGTAGTTTATCATTAAAGCATACAAAATGCAAGGCAAATAATGTACTAAAATATAGAATTATAGCCACACATCAATACCCCACACTTAAACATTGCTCGTCCTCGAGCAATCAAACTACACTTATAGACACAACCTTTTTAAGCAATTCCCTTAACTTATCACACCAAGAATCTTTAAAATAGTCTAAGCACAAAGGTGTAACATCCTCACCTCAAGATTTGACTCATAAATACCATGCCTTATTCACAATTCACTTACTTACTCTAACATGGAGGTCAATGACATTTCTTTTCCTTTATGAATCGCGTGCCCTCACCCAACAAAGAGCTTAGTTCCGCACACAATGAATTTTAAGAACGTAGGAACTCAATATAGGAAAAATTCACTCGCTCTTAGAAATAACATTCATATGCCACAAATGATGCACCTTAGGCTTGCCCGTAGTGTAAGACTCTACTAATCGAGCTTATTCAGTCTAGGATCAAGTAGGACTTTAATTGGTTGTACTATAGGCTGCGGGTCGGATATGATACATTTGGATATGAGTGACTACACCTCCCTTAAGCACTTTAATACATATACTTTAATACTACAGCCCATACTTATGTTAAACCAGAATTCCACCTTCACTTCAATTTATATTACCCCATACTTCTTTAAGCACAAATATATCACTAGCCACCACCATCAAGAATTATTTTTTTCATACAATACATCTATTTTTTTTAATTTTTCTTTCAATCCAAGTGGCTTTTATTGACATTTTTTTTTTCAAACGATGCACCTTTCTCCTTATTTCATTTGTTCCACTCAAAAGCCAAATCACCACCCCATACTTTAACTTTTACTTAATTCATCACAATTCAAGTGCTCATGAGAGGTGACAAGGTTCAAATATATGGTCGATTCACACAAAGGGGTACGACTTGTAATGTGGTTGCCAAAGAAACAAGATTATAGGCTCAAAGGGGTTAACAACATTACATGACATTCATGCGGGTAGACTCTATATATCTAGCTCAACAAAGAAACGCCTATATCACTTCCTAGACTAAACAAGACTACCATTTCGCTATGCACACACGCGGGGCAAGTTCTAGACATCAAATGCAATGCACTGAATATATACAAAACTCACGCAGACATGGCACATAACTCACTTAGGATTGGTTTTATCACGACACTCCAGTCAGCGCAGTCAAGCAAATTTAAGAATCTACGATTTAAGGTACTTATATCAGAGTCAAAAACTGAGCCTAAGCGTCACAACCAGAGTACTAACTATTCTCAAGGCGTAACAAAGTTAAGAGATATCGCTGCAATTTAATTCATAGCCTAGTGATTTCTACTCCTAAAAATTAAAACTAACTACACCCAATTCAATTAAAACCCTTGGAAAAGAACCATGGTCCAAAGAAAAACCAAGGGGAAATTACTACACTACCTACAAGAAAATCTTTTTGGTTTTTTTTTCTTTAGACTTAATTACCTCAAGAAAATTGTCTAGGAGATCCATCGTCGGGAAGAGTCCAATTTTTTAATTTTTCAGACGGCACTAACTAAAAACAAATAAAACTATCATCCCATATAGACGGGCCATAAAACTCCAATATGTCCCTCTCCGCTAAAGTGGCCGCCCCTCCCCCCTAACCGTAGCTGTAAATCCATCATCCCATATAGATTGGCCATAAAACTATCATCACGAGCATTGCGCTCAGCACCTGTCAATGATGGCATGGCAGTCTCTTCCTTCACGCGGACGCTAGTAATGTCAGTTTGTCGTAGGGTCTGATCAATGATGTGGTCGAACGTTGGCTCCTCCTCAACCTCTTCATGTCTTAAGAACTGAGTCAACATATTTGCAAAATGCATTCGTTCAATCCTCTTACTCGTTCTTACTAGAGACATTCGGTAGCGAATCAAATGACCTACATTCACCCTCTGACCCGTCATGAGGAAATATAGCACACACATCCTCTCATGGCTAATGAGCATGTCATGATTGCAAGGTAGGAGCCGTGCATTAATCAGTTTCAACCATACTTGAGCCTCTGCCCTCATCTTCTTCTTAGGGAATTTCCTGTGCCGATTTGTTTTCTTATCCCAAACCCAAGCTGCCATCGAATTGACACCACAAAGAATGTGTCTCAGCTCTCTATATGTAGGGCGAGCGATGAAGTATTCCAATGGCTCATGAGGCACTTCCAGAGCACCTAAGAAATTACATATTGTCGTGGCTGAAAAATCTATCAACCTTCCACGAATCGGCACCAGCTGTTCAGTATCCTTTGGATCAAACCCGGCATAGAATTCCCGAATGAGATTGAGATTTATATTCCCTGTGTTTTTGAAGACATAACTCAACCCAACTCATTGATGCCTCTCCAAATTGCTTGGTACTTGGCTTGCAGGCGACGCTCGTGAATAGCAGCTTCTGGATGTACATGTTTTGGCCTATAGCGCCGGTACCAATCCTTAGTGTGTGAGGGTATGCTTTTGAGTCCAAACCCATGCTGTCCATGAGGTTGTGGACGAGTGGATGCTATAGCTGCCACGACTTGTAGTCCTTCACCTTGACTGGAAGTAGCTTCCCCCTCCCTTTTTCTCTTCTTCGGAGGAGGCACAGAGGTAGCCTTAGCTTTAGACGAAGCAGTGGATGTGGCTTTGCCTTTACCAGTGTCTTTTCTTGGAGGCATATTCGTTCATACACAAGTAAGCATTAATCAGTTTAAGCTGTATTGCAACATTTCAACACATGGTCTTGCCACCCCACACTTAAGAGTTTAACACATGATTTTTAATAATTTCCGAGGTTACTCAGACTTTACCTCATATTTACTTAGCATGAGAATCAAGAAAAGACACATGGGTACTTCCTCCAATTTCAAAGCATTAGGCTACCAGTGAGCCACCCCACACTTAAGATTTTAAAGTGGTGCATGACTACATAGCACTAGTCTTACAATCCCGGAGACTCGGGCTCCAATGGGGACAGAGAATGCCTTTGAGGCATACTGACAAACACTTAACATGCACTAGTGCCATGTGAGTGCTTGTAGGGATAGGGGATTGCCTTACCCTCCCAAATCGGCTTGGGAGTTCCGTACTACCACTTGTTCACACAATAGCAACACCATTCCTATGGGGTTCATGGGGTTGGGGACATATAAATACATTGTTACAATGAAGAACAACCCCAAAATTTGTGCCCAATGTCATGCATTCACCCACTCGAAATTGCCAAAGAATATAGATAGAAATAATACCTTAGATGTTTAAGAGGAGGGATTGCCCTTGAATTGATGTTGCAGGTGAAGGAAAGAGCAGAAGATGCTTGTCTTCAATGGGTTTGTGAGGGAGGGGGCTTTGCAGTGTTCTTCTTGCGTGAGTGTGCGAGCAGTGAATCTTTGGGCAGTGAAATTTTGAGTGTGTGTGTGTAGTAAGGTTTTGGGCTTTAGGTTAGGTTTTAAGGGAGGGGATTAAAAGAAATAAAGGAACTGGGATTAAAATAAACCAAGATTTTCACTTACCTGGCGACGCGAGGTCACTGCTTCGCCTTAATCCTCGCGAGGCGAGCTCCAATGCCAGATACACCTCTACTTACCCCTCATGAGGCGAGCTCCAACGCGAGCTTTACATCAGGCGATGCGAGAGCTAACGCCTGGACCAGCTCATTGTGGACCAGGCGACGCGCAATGCACTGTACGACTTGCTAAAATTACCTCCAAACATGTTAGTACCTAAAAACGAAAAGAAAATTCTAACTACACTAAAACTCAACTATGAATTAGGTTGCCTCCCAACGAGCGCCTTAGTTAATGTCATGGCATGACGAATACAACATTACAATGGGTTGCCTCTCATGAAGCGCCTGCTTTAACGTCGTGGCACGACGCAGGCAATCGACTTAAGGCTCGCTCAACATTGGTGGCTCGAGCAAACGAGTCACCGACACTACTTTCGTGTCATCCATGCCCAAATAATGTTTTAACTTGTGCCTATTGACTCTCAACGTGTGAGAGTCATTTTCTTCAGCAATCTCTACAGCTTCGGTGGGGGTGAATCTCTACCACACGAAATGGTCCTGACCATCTTGACTTCAATTTGCCCGGAAACAACCTCAATCTCGAATTGAATAATAATACCCTATCTCCCGGCTTAAAATTTCGCTCAAGAATATTTTTGTCGTGCACCAATTTCATTCTTTCCTTGTACAACCTTGTACTCTCAAAAGCATGGTACCGAAACTCGTCAAGTTTATGCAACTCTGTGACTCTACTAGTTCCAGTGACCTCCACGTCCAGATTTAATTGTCGCAATGCCCAGAAGGCTTTATGCTCTAACTCCACCGGCAAGTGACATGCCTTTCCAAACACCAATTTATACGGCAACATTCCAATCGGAGTTTTGAATGCAGTGCGGTAGGACCATAATACATCATCCAATTTTCTTGCCCAATCAGTCCGAGTAGCATTTACAGTTTTGATCAAAACACTCTTGATTTCTCTGTCTGACACTTCGACTTGCACACTCATTTATGGGTGATACGGAGTGGCAACTTTATGGCGAACGCCATATTTCTCCAACAACTTTTCAAAGGCTCAATTGCAGAAATAGGTACCCCCATCACTGATGATAGCTCTTGGAGTGCCAAATCAGGTGAAGATGTTCTTTCTCATGAAACCAATAACTGCCTTCGCATCATTTGTAGGAAGTGCGACGGCTTCTACCCATTTCGAGACATAGTCCACCGCGAAAAGTATGTACTTGTTATTGTATGAGCTAACAAATGGTCCCATAAAGTCGATTCCCCACACATCAAACACTTCTACCTCTTGGATCGGGTTCATGGGCATCTCATGTCGACGGTAAATATTCCCCGTTCGTTGGCACTCATCACAAATTTTCACCCAGAAGTGTGCATCTTTAAACAGCGTCGACCAATAAAAACCTGACTCTAACACTTTGGCCGTTGTACTTACGCCCCCAAAATGTCCTCCATATGGTGAAGCATGACATGCCTGCAAAATAGAAGATTGATCTATCTCAGAAATGCATCTCCGGATCATGTTATCAAGACAAATCCTAAATAGATATGGTTCATCCCACAAATACATATGACAATCACGAAAAAACTTTTTCTTTTGCACAGAAGACAAGTCATAAGGAACAATACAGCTTGTCAGGTAATTTGCAATATCTGCATACCATGGTGTAGCATTGAGGCTCGTCGCTAAGAGTTGTTCATCCGGAAAAGTCTCCACAATCTCTTCCACCTCAACCTTCTTCTCGAATCCTTCCAGCCTAGACAAGTGATCAGCCACTTGGTTCTCCATTCTCTTTCGGTCACGGATTTCCAAGATAAATTCTTGCAGTAGTAGCACCCATCGAATCAAGCGTGGCTTTGACTCTTTCTTCTCAATTAGGTACCTAAGAGCAGCATGTTCAGTATAAACAATTACCTTCGAGCCTATCAGGTATGACCTGAATTTGTCAAATACGAACACTACTGCTAGCATCTCCTTCTCGGTCACTGTGTAATTTAGTCGGGCACCACTCAAACTTCTACTTGCGTAATATATTGGATGCATGACTTTATCTTTTCGCTGCCTAAGAACTGCTCCCACAGCATAGTCGCTCGTATCACACATCAGCTCAAATGGTTTCCCCAGTCGGGTGCAATTATGATAGGTGTTGTTACCAGCCTCTTCTTCAATTCCTCAAAAGCTACCCTACAGTCATCAGAAAATAAAAAAAGTGTGATCTTTTTCAAGCAATTTACACAAGGGGTTAGCAATTTTGGAGAAGTCTTTTATAAACCGTCTATAGAAATCGGCGTGGCTAAGGAAACTTCTTATTGCTTTGACGGAAGCGGGTGGTGGAAGCTTTTCTATCACATCAACCTTTGCATGATCTACCTCAATGCCCTTACTCGACACTAGGTGCCCCAAGACTATACCTTCCTGTACCATGAAATGGAACTTTACCCAGTTGAGAACCAGATTAGTCTCCGGACATCTTTTCAGTACTCTTTTCAAATTCTTTAGGCAATCATCGAATGAGTCTCCCACTACTGAGAAATCATCCATAAAGACCTCCATTATGTCCTCTACCATATCTGTGAATATGGCCATCATGAACCTTTGAAATGTGGTGGGTGCATTGCATAGGCCAAACGACATTCTCCGAAAAGCGTAGACGCCATATGGACAGGTGAATGATGTTTTCTCTCTATCTTCTGGAGCAATGGAGATCTGACTATACCCCGAGTATCCATCCAGAAAGCAAAAATGGGACCTCCCGGCCAGTCTATCTAGCATTTGATCAATGAACGGCAAGGGAAAGTGGTCTTTTTGGGTGGCCTTGTTCAATCTTCTGTAGTCCATACAAATTCATCATCACGTGACTGTTCTTGTTGATTTCAACTCGTTGTTATTGTTTTGCACTACTGTCATCCCACATTTCTTTGGCACACATTGGACTGGGCTGATCCAGTTGCTATCGGAGATGGGGAAAATGATCCCCGCATCTAACCACTTTATCGCCTCCTTTTTCACAACTTCCTTCATGTTGGGGTTCAACCTTCTTTGATGTTCTCTGGAGGGTTTGTGGCCATCTTCCAGTAGAATCTTATGCATACAGAAGGCCGGGCTGATACCCTTAATGTCTGCAATGGTCCAACCAATTGCAGTTTTGCACTCAATCAATACCTGCAAAAGCTTTTCTTTATGCACATCTAATAAACCCGATGAGACAATAACAAGTAAAGTTGAGTTAGGTCCCAAGAAAGAATACCTGAGATGAGGTGGTAGTGGCTTCAGTTCCAACTTTGGTGGCTCTTCTATCGATGGCTTAGCTGGAGGAGTTTTCCTTTCTTCTAAGTGCAAAGGCTCAAATTCGAGCTCTCTTTTCCAAAACCTTGGCTTTCAAGAGCCAGTATCCACTCCGCCAAGTCCTCTCCATTTACTTCATCTAAGTTCATGAGACAGGCTGTTAGAAGGTCTTTAGCATTCAAGGTCTCATCTTCCTCCTCCAAAATTACATCCACAACTTCTATTAGAGAGCAGTTAACAAATTCACTTGGTCGCCGCATAGATTTTTGCACATTGAATGTTATCTCTTCATCATTTAGTTTCATTTTTAGCTCTCCAGTTTCACAATCAATTAAAGCTCTCCCAGTGGCCAAGAATGGTCTTCCCAAAATTATGAGAATCTCCCCGTCAACCCGGCAATCCAGAATGACAAAATCTGCTGGGAACACAAACTTCCCAACCTGTACTAATAATACATCATCTAGAATACATGATGGCCTCTTCACTGTCCGGTCGGCTAGCTGTAGTATCATGGATGTGGGTCTTGCTCTTCCAATGCCTAACCTTTTGTAGATAGCCAAGGGCATCAAGTTTATGCTTGCCCCCAAATCACACAATGCTTTAGCAAAAGCATAGATGTTTATCGTGCATGGGATTGTGAAACTCCCTAGGTCTGATAACTTCTCAGTTATGGGTCTCGTCATGACTGCACTACAAGTCTGGGTCAATGTAACAGTGGACATGTCTTGGAAGTCAAATTTTCGAGACATTAAATTTTCCATCATTTTGGCATACCCCAGGCATCTCCCGCAAAGCGTCAATCAGTGGAATGTTCACCTAGATTTGTTTCAACATCTCCATGAATTTCTTATAGTGCTCATCCTTCTGATATTTGGTCAATCTCTGTGGGAATGGTGCTGGAGGTCGCTTCCGTCCTGTGATTTGAGTTTTATCTTGCTCAGGCACTGCTTCTACTATGGATTCTTGTGCTACCTCAGTCTCCTTCGCAATATCTTTTTCTTTTCTTGTGCTCTCTTGTGCATGTTGTACCGTCACCTCAGTTAACCCTGTTGAATCATCTATCTCAATGGGTACTGGCACAAGTGTTTCCGTAGGTCAACTTTCGCAAGCAATTTCTTGCTCCAGATCTAGGTCTCTACCATTTCTTAGACTCACTACCATAAGCTGTTTTGGGCCCTGCTCTTTTGGATTGACTTATGTGTTTGCAGGTAACGTCCCTTGGGGACGATTATTTAGAGCCATCGAAATATGTCCTAATTGAATCTCAATGCCCTTTATCATTGATTCATGTAAGTCCACTCTCTCTTGTATTTTTCCATTGGACCCAATCAGTTGTTGCAGCATTCCTTTAAGTTCAGCAAACCCATCATCTTGTCTCACTATCCGTTGTTGAGGTTGTTGATAAGCTAGCTACTGATTTTGCTGGTTGTAACCCTGTTGCCTTTGGTAAGGCACAACTTGACCTTGTGGTCGCATAGCTCCAGGATTGTTGTTGTTATTGTACTGCTGTTGTGCTGGCCTATATTGTTGATTCTGCTGCCCCCAATTCTGACCACCTTGCCTCTGTCCCCCATAGTTGGCCACATAGTTCATATCTTCCTGATAGTGATGGTTGTCACCTTCCGCACTCCACGAGCATACATATGGTTGGTTAATGCATGGTGTACATAAGCCCTCATTAGTTGTGTCAACTATGTGTACCTGTTGCTTCTGGCCTGATTCATCGATCTTTTTGGTGAGGATACCCATTTGTGTCATTAGAGTGGCCATATTTTCCGCTATGGAGTTGTTTGTGTCCAAAGCCACTGAATGAACAACAGGAGTGATCGTAGAGTCTCTTGTCATCCATCCTGAGTTTTGGGCCATTTTGTCAAGTAGGGTCTTGCATTCTCTGAATGTTTTACTCAAAAATGCTCCACCTGCTGAAGCATCAACATTAGCCTTTAAGTCGTCTGCCAGTCCCATGTAAAACCTCTGCCCCAACATCTGATCTGGAATGCCATGATGTGGACATTTAACCAGCATCCCCTTGAACCTCTCCCACGTTTCTTATAGTATTTCTGTTGGTCTCTGCCTGAAGCTCAATATATCATCAATTTTTTGGTAGTCTTATTGGGTGGGTAGAACTTGTTCAAAAATTACTTGACTAATTCCTCCCAAGTAGTGATGGAGTTTATGGGGAGTGAATTAAGCCAAGACTGAGCTTCTCTTGTCACAAAGAATGGAAACAATAATAGCTTTATTGCCCCCGGTGTCACATTAGGTTGCCTTTGCGTGACACATATCAACAGAAATTCTTCAGATGCTGCTGAGGATCTTCAATGTATGACCCTGAGAACAATCCCTTGTTCTGCAACAAATGTAGCATGTTGTTTGTGATTTGAAATGATTTCGCTTGTTTCTGAGGGACTGCAATTGCGGTTGCCAGATTTTCGGCGGTGGGTTGTGCCCAGTCATATAATGATGCTTCTGGCACAAGAGGCACCACACCCTAATTGTTCGGGTCATTCTCATTGTTTCTATTGTTTGGATTTTCTACTCCGTCATCCATGTCTTGTTCGATTTGTTCTGTTGAATTTTGTTGATGTTTGCCCTTCTTGTTTGTATGATTCAGTGCCTTGAAAACTTTTTCAGGATCTGATAATGCATCGAACAATTCACCAGTTCTTGAGGAGTTTCTAGGCATCCACCTTTAGCACCCT